AGAAGTGGTTCGGGACTATTTAGAAAAGCTGGACGAGCACAAGTCCATGGGTCCGGATGTGCTGCATCCAAGAGTGCTAAAGGAGTTGGCAGATGTGATTGCAGAGCCATTGGCCATTATCTTTGAAAACTCATGGCAATCGGGGGAGGTCCCAGACGACTGGAAAAAGGCTAATGTAGTACCCATCTTTAAAAAAGGGAAGAAGGATCCTGGGAACTACAGGCCAGTCAGCCTCACCTCAGTTCCTGGAAAAATCATGGAGCAGCTCCTCAAGGAATCAATTCTGAAGCACTTGGAGGAGAGGAAAGTGATCAGGAACAGTCAGCATGGATTCACCAAGGGCAAGTCATGCCTGACTAATCTAATTGCCTTCTATGATGAGATAACTGGCTCTGTGGATGAGGGGAAAGCGGTGGACGTGTTGTTCCTTGACTTTAGCAAAGCTTTTGACACCATCTCCCACAGTATTCTTGCCAGCAAGTTAAAGTAGTATGGGCTGGCTGAATGGACTATAAGGTGGACAGAAAGTTGGCTAGATTGTCGGGCTCAATGGGTAGTGATCAATGGCTCCATGTCTAGTTGGCAGCTGGTACCAAGTGGAGTGCCCCAAGGGTTGGTCCTCGGGCCAGTTTTGTTCAATATCTCCATAAATGATCCGGAGGATGGTGTGGATTGCACCCTCAGCAAGTTTGCAGATGACACTAAACTGGGAGGAGAGGTAGATACGCTGGAGGGTAGGGATAGGATACAGAGGGCCCTAGACAAATTAGAGGATTAGGCCAAAAGAAATCTGATGAGGTTCAACAAGGACAAGTGCAGAGTCCTGCACTTAGGACGGAAGAATCCCATGCACCGCTACAGACTAGGGACCGAATGGCTAGGCAGCAGTTCTGCAGAAAAGGACCTAGGGGTTACAGTGGACGAGAAGCTGGATATGAGTCAACAGTGTGCCCTTGTTGCCAAGAAAGCTAATGGCATTTTGGGATGTATAAGTAGGGGAATTGCCAGCAGATCGAGGGATGTGATCATTCCCCTCTATTCGACATTGGTGAGGCCTCATCTGGAGTACTGTGTCCAGTTCTGGGCCCCACACTTCAAGAAGGATGTGGAAAAATTGGAAAGAGTCCAGCGGAGGGCAACAAAAATGATTAGGGGACTGGAACACATGACTTATGAGGAGAGGCTGAGGGAACTGGGATTGTTTAGTCTGCAGAAGAGAAGAATGAGGGGGGATTTGATAGCTGCTTTCAACTACCTGAAAGGGGGTTCCAAAGAGGATGGATCTAGATTGTTCTCAGTGGTGGCAGATGACAGAATGAGGAGTAATGGTCTCAAGTTGCAGTGGATATTAGGAAAAACTTTTTCACCAGGAGGGTGGTGAAGCACTGGAATGCGTTACCTAGGGAGATGGTGGAATCTCCTTCCTTTGAAGTTTTTAAGGTCAGACTTGACAAAGCCCTGGCTGGGATGATTTAGTTGGGGATTGGTTCTGCTTTGAGCAGGGGGTTGGACTAGATGACCTCCTAAGGTCCCTTCCAACCCTAATATTCTATGATTCTATGGTTTTCCCTCATATATAATTCAGCAGAAGTAACCTCAAAAGTTCAAAACTCAGTCTTTTCTCTATATATTTCTCTGTTGTCTGAGGTGCAAGTTTTTTTGATTTTCCCAATATTGACTGTGGAAGATCACCCTTCACTTTCCTAGTTTAATAAAAAAAAAAAAAAATCAATCTAGAGTTACCACTTTTGGATGCTGTTAAAACACGACGTTAGCTGCCACCCAGGACAAAACCATCTGCTTCAACAAATTAGCATGATGAAATTATTTTTTAAATGGATGCCTCATTAGAAACATTTACATTAATTCATTTTTATAATGCTTCAGTAAATCATTTCACCTACAAGACATTTTGGGGCTGAGGATGTGCCCCTCTGTTTTTAAAATTGCAGGCTGGCATTATCTCCCACAATAAATTTCAAAAATTGAAATATTTTAGGGGCAAAAGACAAAGATTAGAATTTTTCAAAACAGAAACTATTCTCTTCCAGGATTATTAAAATCACAGAACCTTGGTCCACTAAAAATAGATTAAAACAATGCCATTATTAATGGTAGTTGCAGAATTTCAAATGTGATTTCAGTAAATCTTGAAACCTTTCCTATGACTGATAGCATTGTGACTACGACCATATTTATTTCTGAAAAATACAGTATTGCTAAAATAATATTGCATTTGTTTTCTAAATTCACTGTTCAGGAATAAATTGAATTAAATCCAATAAAGAGCCTCTAGCTCATCAGCAAAAGTGATGTATATGTATACGTATTTATACAAAGTGAATGTATATTTGAAAGCCTTAACATCTCTCTCTCTCTCTCTCTCTCTCATATTCTGTGTTTTAGTAACTTACTAATGCATGAATACCAGAACTCCCTTGGTTGGGAACATTATTTGAAAGAACAGTGAGCTGTTAAGAATGCCAAATGCCTTTTTTTTTTAAATGAAAAAGTAAGTATTTCAATTCCATCCTGGTTTTAAATTAGTAAGATACATAAGTACGGCCATTCTGGGTCAGACCATCTAGCCCAGTATCCTGTCTTCCGACAGTGGCCAATGCCAGATGGTTCAGAGGGATGAATAGAACAGGTAATCATCAAGTGATCCATCCTGTTGCCCATTCCCAGCATCTGGCAAACAGAGGCTAGGGAGACTTCAGAGCATCAAGAACAGGAAGTAGCACCCTAAAGTATTCATTCAAAATGCAATTAACACATTTCACTGGGGAAGAAAATTCATGGTGTTAAAATGTTGAGGTGTTTCAGTTTGTAAACGTCACCCTTTTTATTTTAAATAGTTCCTAAGACCTATGTATAAGTCATTCATGAACTGCTTGATTACTAGTATCCTGTACTAAAAAGCCCATCAGAAAATTCATGGTGCTCTGAGTTCAGGGGGCTTCTACAATGGGTTCCCTTCTCTTTACAGGACCAGAAGAATATGACTGCATCACAATTTTTCTATGTTTAAATTCACTCTTTTCAACTGAAACACAACTGAGCTCTCTCAATTAAGGATAAGGAGAAAGAGAGCACAAAAGCTATCCATCCTTATGTTTATCTGAAAGACATTCAGATACCACAATATCAAGAGAGATCTACACAGAAAATATGTGTACATAGACTATATAAATTCAGACCCACTCTCCTTCATCTAATCAAGGAAAAGCCAGCTCTCCCATAACCCAAACATTCACAAAAGCTCGATCATGAAGAGGTCAGAATTCTAGACAAAAAACTACTTGAACCCCCTTGGTTAGCCCTTCCATTCTCCCCCACAGCAAAATTAAGGAGTGTGTGTTTAAAGTTGTATTTAAAGCTTACGCACACACCTTTTACATAACAACATTAATTACTGTTTTAATTAAACAAGCATAATGATGGGAGCCATGAAGAATTCTCTCCCATAAACTGTCACATTGAAATCGTAAATTAAGACAGTGGTACAGACTGGGCTTGGAAGCAATGATGTGTGGAGGTGCTAGAAATGCAACCCAGCTCATGCTTCTGCTATCTCTTTCCCAGTTGGTTCTGTTATGTGGAATTATCTGAGTGGGCTTCCCTATTCAAATGCTACATACAGATTAACAATAAATTACAGTTATTGGAAGCAGGGCAAGAAAGAACGCAGGAAGCAGGGGAGTGCTTTAAATACCAATACTCAAAAGAAATTACTCACTGAAGGGTGGCTCTAAGCCTTCCTCAAGAGAAGTGGTGTGCGAGTATGCTGTGAATGGATAGATGGGATTCCAAGCCAGAGTGCAACATTTTGCATGCTGCACAGCTGAGAAATGACAGCTGTGGGTCAGTAACTACACATCTCTGACCTTCTGAGAAACAATTCCATTTCAGAATAATTGGAATGGTAGTCGTATAGGTTTTACAGGCTGAATTTGCTGTGAATACACAGACCTGACTGCAATATTTCAGTCCCAGAACAAGGAGTAGCTTGGAGACACTTCATTCTAGGGCATTCTATTTATAAAGCTGCTTTATAAGCTATTAGAAATGTCCAAAGAATGCTTGCAAGTCTAATTAAAGTAATTTACTGAGGGGAAAAGACACACCATTCTTTGATTCTGAAAATACACAAAGGTGCTTTTTTAAAAACAAAAATTTCCATATACAGTACATCTTTGTATGAAAAAAGTACTAGTTCTATATATATGGAAAACATGTAAAAGTACAATTAAATAATGCCATTGGTACTTTTTTAAGATTATATGTCAGATCTTAGAAACAATCAATTCTACTTGGGAGAACACTTACATCCCACTTAAGTGCAAACTTGTTAAGCACATAACCTCAGGACAGAGAAAGCCTATTATTTTAAAGAGTGTTCATTATACTAAGCTCCACAGTGTAATGATGTGTTTTAGAAACTGCTCCCTTTTTAACACGTCATGTTATCAAATGCAATCTTTTGTTGTACAATTACATGTATTTATGAAAAAGAAGGTTCATGAATAAGGTCTGCATTATGAGTTTATAAATACTGATCTAGGGTAAAATGTTCAAAACACCTAAGTGACTTAGAAGCCTAGGTCACATTTTCAAGAGTGACTTAGGCACTTAGCAGCCTAAATCTCACAGAAAGTCATTGGAAAGTAGGAACTTTTGAAAATTTTACCCCTGAAGAATCTGGGGTGAAATCCTGGCTCCACTGGATTTAACCCCTGATCTCTAACAGGTATGGATGGAAATGACCTATGCTGCAGATTTTTACTGTTTATGAAACCCGGTCATTACTGTTAGACAAATATTTAACTGCTGAAATACTTTGGAAACAAAACCCTACAATCTGAAATCAGAATGCTTACCAATTAATTTGCAATTTTTTTGGAAGTTTTATTTGTGCTGGTCTCCGGCCAAGAATTTAACTTTTACTCCAACATTTCCAAGTATCACTGTTACGTCTTTCTTCAGAGCCCCCACTAGAGGAAAAAGTTTTAAATATTTACCATAGAACAACAGTATTATTATGAAATATGACTGTAAACATCTTCCTCATTTCATATTAATTGCAGAATGTTTGGAAACACTTCTGTATTTTCTCTGATGCCATATTTATTAAATCCAGGACTCTAAAGCCTTATAAATTTGGTGTAATACCCTATCATGCAGAAACAGTAAATCAAATCTCACATTCATTTCCAAGAATATAAATATCCAACTCACTTCAGTCCCTACACCGTCCACAGAAAAGTTACATATAGCAATACACTCTACTTAATTTTAGGGCTCGTAGTCACTTATTCATTGCAGAAAAGGCACAGAATTGAGTCTTCTTAAGAGTACAGAATCACCACATGAACCTCTGGATTTCTTCACTATTTGGCCACTGAAATGTTTTGTTCAGAAATAGATGAAAGCTTACTGCATTCACAACAACATATAAAGTCAGCTCAAGGAGAAGCCTGGAAAGAGGTGGAACTGGAATATTGAGCCTATATATTAAAAATGGCAAAATGAAGTAACGAAATTCCAGTAGCTTTTGAGGAACTGTGACAGCAAACACACATACAAAATATATTAAGTTCCAGAAAATAGATTTTGATTTCAGTGAGTCAGCCAAACTCCAGCCAGCAAATATATAGGCTGGAACAAATATGTATTTCACAAGGTCATGTCTTTGGAAGACTTTTCTCCATACATAAAATGTGTAATGTCTGTTATCTCCAATCAAGTATTTATGAACATATGTAAATTTCCAGACCAGGAATAAAGAGATGGCAATGAGTATGCTATATTGAATCAAGTGCTTCCGTACTGATCGAAGGAAATTTCCAATTTTATTAGGTGTCATTAGATGAGGAAAGGAAAAAAAGAGAGTAAAGGAAAAAAAGTAGAACAGTTGAGGGATGTGGAAACAGGCTTCATGGCTACTCCTGTCACCAACAACTATTCCACCATTGATTACCACAAAAGCAAAGAACACAATTACTAAGAGGATGTACGGCCAGGTCAAAACAATAAGAGTTACTAGGTTTTTAAATGACATGATGTACTCAGTAAGAAATTGTACTACTTTGATTAATTCTGAAAATGATCCCTTCGTTGCTGAAATCCTTTCTTCTTTTTTCTTCTGTAATTCTGTCTTCCAGGCTTCACTTAGCTTTTGTGCAACAACACTTCCCCCACAGAAAATAGTCCATATAATATTTGTTTGACGAAACATAAAGCCACAAAACCCGAGTAGGGCTGAAGTTTTATGGTTACCATAAAGGCACATTAAATATGCAAACAGAGTAAAAAACACTGATCCTGTGTCTGTATAATAAAGGAATGTAAAAAAATAGAGGGTAGGAAACATTGCAAGGGTTAACGTAGATAAGATTCTCTGGAAACCAGACACAGTCTAGAGAGAGAGGGAGAAAAAAAACTATCAGTAGTATTACTTCCATCAAGGAACAAAAATCACAATTATTTAAAGGGTACCATTCTTTAGAATCCTCAGTACCATAAAACAGCATCTCTTCTGAGCTGAATCAGTTTTTATTACACCAGTATGCACACTGCACTCAATTTATTGTCAACCTTCTGCTACACTAATATGGAACATAAGACAATAAAACATAAGAGAAATATGAGTATGTAGAATATTAGAGCACTGCTGGTGATTTAAAAGTAAACTGTGAAGACAATAGGAAAATTACATTCATTTCAATTCTATTTTAGGTGTTTATATAGTGTCTGTCATGGTATATCTAAGGCCCCATCCTGCAACTATCTTACTGCAGTTCCCTATGACATCCAGAATGCACCATTCTCTGACAGCATAGTTACCATAACTTCTGCTGAAACTGGCCATAGAGCATCATTTAAGCTTATTTAATCTGTGCTGCAGTTTCTACAGTTCCTTTTCATTATTATTTTATAAAGTAATAAAGAAACTTTGGGGAAAAAAAAGTCTTATAGTTGAAAATACTAAAGCCAACACTTTCACTTATATACCGGGTAATTTACATTTATATTTGCATCTACAAATATAATATAAAATAAAAGCTATTCCAAAAGAATGAATTCTTTATTAAATTAGACCCTGACACATGCAAAGATTTATGCATGTGTTTTTTAAGAGATGACATTATCCTGGATTGAGAATATCTATATGGAGAGATGATTTCTGATGATAAAGGGATCCTTAATCTAGCCGACAAAGGCATAAACTGATCTCAAGGTTGGAAGCTGAAGCTAGGCAAATTCAGACTAGAACTAAGGTGCAAATTTTTAATTAGGGTAATTAACCACTGGAACAATTTACCTAGGGATGTTACTTGAAATCTTTATATCAAAATTAAATATTTTTCTAGACAGTAAGTTTTAGCTCTGTAATGCTCAGACCTCAGTGGTTCAGGAGCCAAATTAGTAATTAACATTTCCCAAAAGAGCCACAGTAGTGTGAATTCATTGTTTCATTTGCTACAGTACTATATATTCATATTTAAACAGCATGACCGGGGAAATATTTTGTATGTGTGTATGTATGTATATATAAAATTATTCTAGCAGCAAAATGACTGACCAAGTATTATTATTTTATCAACTACAATTGGTTAATAACATAGTAAAAACATCCTGATTGGTTAATAACTTAGATTGGTTAATAATTAAATCACACAGTGTTTTAATATTATGTGCTGCAAAGAGTCACAGAAGACACATTAAAAAGACACCTGTGGCTCACAAGCCTCAATCTGAGTATCACTGTTCTAGCTCAACCCCAAGTTATGGGCTTGATGAAGGAATTACTCGGTGAAGTTCTAATGCCTGTGTAGTGCAGGTCAGACTAGATTACCATAAGGGTCACTTTCAAGCTATACAAATCTATTAATATTAACTTTATAAATACAGTAGTCCCATCAACTTGAACAGGACTGTTCAAATGTGTAAAGTTGAACACAAATGTAAGTCTTTACAGCATCAAGCCCTAAGGGAAGGGAAAAAACCTGGTTTTAGAGAAGAAGGAAGGAGCCAATAAAATAATCTAAATGATATAAATATTTGTTGCATAAAACTGAGGAGATCTGAAACTCCTCATATAGTAAGGGATAGCTTAGAGTCTCATCAAAATTTGTATTTATTACTGTATGTAATTCTAATGGATTCAGAGTGTACCTTGTTTTTATGATGTATCTTGCACAAAAGCAAATACAGTAAGTAGAAGTTCCCAACACTGAAAAGGAGATTAATAAATCGGAGCATTCCTGTAGAGCACACTACACTTCCAGACCATCCAAAGAGCCAAACTGCAGGTTTCACTATTCCAACCGACATCAAGTATAAGCCAGGCAATGTAGTGATCATGGGGTCCCACTTAAAAATAAAAAAAAAACCAGGGGATTAAAGGATTGGGAAAACCCAAAGATGCATCACAGAAACAATTAAAAACAATAATAGGTTTATAAGTAGTTCTATCTTACATTCCAACTCATTAATTTTCCATTTAGATATGTTATATTGTAAAGGTGAGTATAAATTCTGAAAACACTTTTGCACACAACTAACGTGTTTCATGCAAGTAGTTCCATTAAGTTATTGGTCATCTTTATATTCAGTATTAGTCAGATCAGTAAACAAAAACAGTCTCATCCTACTTTCAATCACAAAAAAAAAGTTTTTTTTTGTTTTTTTTTTTTAGTATTCTACGGATTTTGGTTTTGGAAAAAACAATCAATCATTTTTATCTGGAAGAGCTAAAGACAACATGAAAAGGAAAAGAAATTGCACCTATGCCCTTTTTTTGCTTCTTTATGATGTATACAAATGTTTCCTCTCCACTAACCCAGCCATAAAAATGTGTATTTTTCTGCTTGGTTTTTGTTTTGTTTTGTTTTTACATGACTAGACATTTAGGTTTCTCTACCCTATTATTTTTCTTTAAAACTTTATGGACAACCAACTGACAAACCAAAGGACTATGTCACTAAGTGCACCAAGCAAGTGAAACTTGACTGCAAGTAGAAACCAGACATCTATTAAAATCTCAGGTTTTGTTAATACCTAACAGACAACTGTTAGAAGAAAAGAGGTAGATAAGTGGTAGATGCCTAGTTGCTTCGGAGATTGACTGGATAGATTTTCTAAATGGAATAACCCTGCAATCCTGGCAGAAGGTGGACGAAATGGTTTTGATTTTGTTTTCTTTTTTCCCATTCCCTCCACCTTTGTCCTTTATTCCTCTTTGTCAATGATGTCTAGGGTAGATTTATTCTCTTTAGTTTTTACTTTTTCTTTTATTTTTTCCTCCATTTTTTTTCTACCCCTCTGTAACCTCTGAGAACAATTCCCATCTACTTCCCCATCTTAGCCAAACTCAGGGCAGACCATTCTTGGCATTACTGATATATCTTAAGTAAAAATAACAAGCAAGCAAAAATCCTTAATTTTAAAAAAAATGCCAAGCCTTCTTTATATATCATAAACAAAAAAGGGCCCAAGCAATATTTTCCTTCCTTGTGGTCACCCTTAAGTGAAACATAAGTAATGTACATGCATTCCTCAAACTATTGTTATTAACAAGCACTTATTAGCTGAGAAATTATGACTATAATTATACCATCACATTTTTCTGTTGCTAGCTAAGGCCTGACAATTGCTCCCCCTCAGAAATAACTTGTGCGGTCCACCAACCAGTAAGAATTGTTAAAAGCTCATCTCCACTTCTCACATAATTTGAGTGCCAAAGCAGTTTAATCTGCTCCAGCAAATAGGAGGCATATATTCTAGAAAAAAGGTTATGTCTACACTACACATTTCTTTCTGTGGCATGGGGAATACATACACAGGTAGTCCCCCTAGAATGCATATCTATAGCAGCACAGACATTAGGACATGACTTAAGCAAGTAAAGACACACCTGAACGGTGTTAGTATGTACCCGAGTACATACCCTGTACTCTCTACCTCCCAAGCCATACATCACTGCTGCTGGAGCCTCTCCTAGCCACAGGAAAAGACTCCCACAGCAGGGAAAGATTCTGGCAGGGGGGAGGCAGAGAGGAAAGAACCCAGTAGCTCCACGCTGTTGGAGTCTTTCCCTGCCACAAGGAAAGACTTCTCCAGCTCCCCACTGCTAGAGTCTTTCCCTGCTGCTAGGAAGGGCCCTGGCAGGGAGGAGGCAGCAGGGAAAACCTACTTTTCCTGTTGCATCCCCCCCGCCGCCAGAGTCTTTCCTCACCACAGTGAACCGCTGCAGCAGTGGCAAGCTGCTGAAGCCTTTTCCTGCCAACGCCACCAGAGCCTTTTACTGATATGCATAGCTATATACACCATACTGTGGGTGAAGCCTGCTTTCCACTGTGGCCTGTAGCTGAATACACCCTACATGCCGCACCTGTGGTGCTCAGTGTGTAGACATAGGTAAAGACAGCTCCACCGCTCCCATCCAAACAGACCAATGATTGATACCAAAAAACAAAGAGGTATCCAAGGGTGCTGGAACAATTGGTATAGTGCGGGTGCTGAGAGCCCTTGCACCAAACTGTAAAATCCTGTATGTGCTGGAAACCACTTCAAGCCAGGGGATGCTGCAGCATCCCCAGCACTCCTGGTTCCAGCAAATGTGGAGGTCCCATAACTGACTGTATTATGCCATGTCAGGATGGCGACAGAGAAAATACAGGAGGATCGTGCTCTGAGTAGTGTCATTCCCTTCACTGGAGTGTAACTGGAGTGGGGGAGGAGATAAGGAGCAGGACACCTTGAGACCCTGCCTCGAGCTGGGGCGTCCAGAGCTTGGGGCTGTCACGACTGCCAGGCTCCGGCTCCCAGGCCTGTCTGAGCGCTAGGCTCCCAGCCACGCAGCAGGCACCATGGCGGGGCGGGGCTGGGCTGCGTTTCCACAGAGGTTCGTGGAAATGGAAACATTCGGGTTTGGGCAGCATTTGCCCGCAGACAACCCGATCGGACCAGCCGGCTCTCCGCAGGCTCCTCGGGGAAGGCCCCGGGGGCGGGAGCTGGGGCCCGCTTAGCGGAGCAGGCGGCGCCCTGAGTAGGGGTGGCACAAAGCCGGGGCTGGGCCGTGGCTCGGCAGCGCCCTGTCAGAAGCGGCCGAGGTGGGGGCCCGTGCGGGCCGGGTCCCCCCCGCCTGGCCGCGACCCCGGGGCGGGGCCGCCGGGGAGCCCCGTACGCACCTGCTGGAAGAGGCCCTCGCAGTAGGCCTGCGCCTGCGGGACGTGGAAGGCCTCGTCCATGTAGGGCGCGCGCTGCTGGCGGTTGAGGGCCGAGAAGAGCAGGCACGCGAGCAGGAAGGTGCCGCTGATGGCGGCGGAGAAGCCATAGGCCTCGGAGCGCTCCATGGCGCGGGCCGGCCGGAGCTCGGGGCGAGCCTGGGTTTCCGGGGAAGGAAGGGATTGCCCGCAGCACGCGGAGGAGGAAGCGGGTAGGTCGGGCGGACGGACAGACGGACGCGCGGGGAGGGAGCTGCTGAGCCGGACGCGGAGCGCTGCCCACGCCGGCTGGCAGCTGAAGCTCCCCCTGCTCTGAGCAGCCCCAGCGGGAGCGCTCCGGGGTGGGTGATGCCTCAGGCAGGTGCCTGCTGGAGAGGGCTGGGTACTGTGCAGGGCTGAATGCCCCTGCCCCGTGTCCCACGATGGGAGGCCAGAGCCACTGGAAGTGGCCCTGTGGCCGCCCCTCGTCTGGCGTCTCCGGTCAAGCAATGGACAGACAGACAGACAGAGCTCGGGAGCGATCGGGGTGAACTGTGACGGGAGCTGTAAGACCTAAAGCTTTTCTCTGTCCCTGCCAGAGCATTGCAGAGCCACCTCGGCCCACTGTTACACCACTTCAGAGGCGCCTTCCACCTCCGGCCGGCGGCCTGGAGCTGATGATAATTGGAGCTAATATTGCTTACACTTTTTTTTTCTGTTTTTTGAGTAAGAAAAAATTCTTAGTAATGATATGATGATTTTTTGTCTTGGGCATATTCAGATTAATCACATACAATGGATTCAATTTCTAAAGTTAATGTTTAACTTTTTTTGTCCGAGTAAAAATAACAAATGGAATATTTTACAAATCTTTTTACAATGTATTAACTTTTACGTAATGATCGTGTTTACTTATTTTATTAAAGAAGAGAGAAAAGGAGGAAAGAAAGCATATGTAAAACTGAATCAGACCATAGTCACCAAAGGCCTGTGCAGTAATTATGTTTATAAATACTCCAGTGTGCTTTCAACTCCCATTTAAGAGAAGGGCAGGTCAGTACCTTGTTAAGATCTTAGAGGACTGGGACCTTCCAGTGGACAGCTGACTGGTCACGTACTGCTGCCTGGGCTTCCTTCTTGTTTCCATCTGCCAAACTTTCATCCTCCAGTACTTCCTTATTATTTTTTCCATATCAACTTCTGAGATGTCATCTGATTGTGAATGGCTGGGGAAGTGATTTGCACAATCCTGAGTAGGAGAGGTGGTGGTCCATACTAAGAAAATATTTGCAAATTCCTGTCTTAACACATAGGAGTGGTTATTTTATGCAGTATTTTTGTAGCTGTGTCAGTCCCAGCATGATAGAGATGCCTACTGGGTGAGGTAATATCTTTTATTGGTGAGCAAGACAAGCTTTCTACCTTACACAAAGTTCTTCTTCAGCTCTGGGAAACTTAATCAGAGTGTCTCAGCTAATAACAAGGTGGAACAGATTGTTTAGCACAGTGCTTTTCAACCTGTGCTCTGTGAACACGTGCGGGTCTGCAGACTATGTCTAAGATTTCTAGAAGGGTCCACACTTCCATTCAAAATTTGTTAGGGGTCTGCAAATTTAAAAAAGGTTGAAAACCATTGGTGTAGCATAAGTAGTTAACACATATTTCAAGGAACCATTCAAGGTGAAGTGACCCATATTTTATAGTATTTGCCACTTAAGCTTCATTAAGAACTTTGTCTCTTTCAGAATAATGTTTATCTTAAGTATTATGAATCCTGTGCAGTAATTATGTTTATAAATACTCTAGGTTTGGCTGTTTTATACTGGTTCAAGGCAAACTCACTCTTTTGTTACAAGATGCAGCATTTCACACATCAACTGGAACTGTTTCCTGACTGTAGTGTGACTCTTGTTTTGTTTAATGATGTCAAAAATGCTGTTGCTCTAAGAAAAAAAGCAATGGAAGGATCTATTGATGGAGCATTAATAAATCCTGCAATGGTAAGCAAATCACCAAATAATTACACATTGTAACTGTTTATATTGTATTACAGTTTTGTAAGCTATAATTCCTTCTCTGGATATGTTTGTATTCCTGCAACCTTCTGCATATGGTTGGACTTCTGTGCCTATCCACAGCCCCATGGACTTCATGCAAGTGTAAGGGTCCACCCATGCAGATCTGATTGTAGGATTGGGCTTTAAGAGTTTACAGCCTTCTGTTTTTGATTCACTTCACCTCCTAGATGTAGCTATTTGAATGATTTACTTCCATCTGTCAAAGTAAATGCTAATCATTTAAAGATTTAGTTCCAGAAATACAGTAGTTTGAATAGTCTTCATGTCCTAATATCTAACATCTGGAGCCTTTGTTCTTCTTTAACTCCATAACTATTTTCAGAACCTGCCATTACCTTTTGTTAGCAATAGCAAAGCAATGGTTGGAGGAGAGAAAAAGAACTTTATTAAATAATCCTGACACATTAGATTACTGGATTCTATTCCAATTCTTTGATTTGAGACAGTTTAATCTGTGGTGTTATTCATCCATCACTAAGGGACAGAGTCAGTCATCCTAACAGGATGAGTACTACCTGTCTCAGTGAGTAGTCCCATTGACTTCAGTGGGAAGACTCACAGAATAATCTACTGCTCAATGTAAGGATGGCAGATTTTAGGGCAGTAAACCAGGAGTGATTGAGTGAGAAAGTTAACATTATTAAGATTATATGATTTGAATGGGGGAAAAAACCTAATTCTTTATAGTTTTAATCTATTCCTATTCTGTTCTGCAGATTGTTGATCCATTTCAGATACTTGTGGCAACAAACAAAGCAGTTCACCTACACAGGATTGGTAAAATGAAGACTAGAACTCTTAATGCAGAAATTATTTTCAACCTTTCCCCAAACAACAATGTAAGATTTACTTTGCTGAACAAATGTCTCTGTTGCCAGATGAACTTTCCAAAATCCACCCAGCCAAGCTGAAAATAAGCATTAACTGAATACTGTACTTGTCTCAAGGGCCCAATTCTGTGAGGTACTGAGCTCCTTTCTTAGATCGTGACAATGGTTAAACTTCCGTGGTCATATTTCAGTGCACACTTATCAGCTCTCAGTGTTATGACCTCTCCTCTAGGTCATCCCTGAGAATCCAGGAATACTCCTGATTGGCCAATTTTCTTTTTTTTGTGGACTGCAGGTGGTAGCAGCCCTTAGTCTGACATAACAAATAAGTTCAGATTTTTAAAATTACCACAATACAAAGAACAGAAAATACAATTTTGGCTTTTCTCATTCAATTTACACTTTTAAAACACTGTGGAAAACAATATACGAGGATAAACTTGCATAAAATTAATGATCAATTGATCCATTTTGTCCATAGCAAAATTAATTTCATACAATCCTTTATTTTTGCCACCAACCAAGCAAATATGAGAACTGTCCAGATAACCAAACTATTATAATTCCATAACAAATATTCTAATTTTTGAGTCAATAAGACAAAGGACTTCTGAGCCAAAACTGGAAAAAACTTGTATTTCTCTGATGACAATAAGCGCTACAAAATAATAAGTAATGTGGCAAATCTTCAACATGGCTAGACCTACATGTGCATAAACAATTCTGCCTCCCAGTGCAAGCTCACTTCCTTTTTAAGAAAGCCCCCTTTGTTTGAAAATTGTGTGTTTCTAATTAGCTTATTATTAAGATTTCCACATATTTCTCTATTATACCCTAAGTTCCAGAAAACCCCAGGAATGAAAAAATTAGTGGACTTGCAAAAGCAAGGGCAATTTTAAAGTTTTATACTTATTAAGGTGTTCCTCCAGAATGTAAATTCACATTCTGAATGCATAACCAGTCATTAATATAGAGGAATTGTGCTTTTGGTTGAGATAAAGCATTCACTCACCTCTGCCGTAAGTAAGAGTTGGGACAGAATTAGGAAGACCAAACATTTTCCTCAAAAATATATTTTTGCACTATCTCTAATGACCTAAGAACAATTTTCAAGTCCCAAATTTCTGTACCACTGAATATTTGAGCACAAACTTTGCCTTAAACACTCTGAGCACTGAAGCAATTAAATTATCTCCATGTATATATGAGGAAAAATAAAGAACTGCTTGTATAGACTTTAAGGCATGCTCCTTAACCTTCTGTATATGCTTATCCTATTTATCACTGCATGTAAAAAAAAAAAAAATGCCCAGATAAGAAAAGGACTTGATTTGTTCAATACAGTGGTCATTGTCCATTTACGCAACTTTGGTCTGTGGCCAAAGGTAATTACTTTAGTTTTCTGATCATTTATGAATATACTCTCCTGTTGAGGAAAAAAAAAAACAATAAAATTTCTCAACAAACACTTTAGACACAAAGGTATTTGGGACAACAAAATCATATGACTTACTAAAGTAAAAATTGGGTCTGTATTCTCTGCTGCTATAAACTGGCACTGCTCCACAGGTGTAGAACTATGCCAATTTACACAATTAGAAAATTTAGCAAAATGATTGAAAAGATTATACCAGATGCTTGCTTCCATGTAATAAGAAAATGACCAATACAATTTCAATATTTCTCATTTTATCTTAGATTTCAGATGCATTGAAAAAGTTTGGTATTTCAGACAATGATTCTGCAGTGCTCATTGTTCTGATTGAAGATAAAGAAAAAACTTTAAATCTGGAAGGCATAATATCTCAAGTGGAAGGTCAGCAGGTTTCTCTAGCAGAACTCCACAAAATAACAGATATAGCCAAAGTTAAAAAGGTTTGTAAAGGCTTGTTTTAAGAATATATGAAATATGACTGGGGCTGGTATATTTTACTTAACTAGCTCATTAAATCCAAATTAGCTTCTAAAGATTCCCAAATCTGTAGTGTGAGTACTCACTTTTCTTTCACCTTGTGGGTTTTCGTGTATGTGATTGGAAACTTTTGTTTTAAGTGGAAATAGAGTATTTGTTTGCTGCTGCTTCTGTTCAGGGAATTTCATTTTTCAATCCAGCAGCATCCAAAACTGTCACTGGCTTCAGTGAGAGTTTTGGATACACAAGGAATGCTAGGTTGAGTCCTTTTGAGGTTTCTCACAACAGCAGGCCCAAATACTGCAAAGATTTACCCAATTTCTTAACTTAAGGCATGTGAATAACCCAACTGGAGGGTCCTAAAATAATAATATTGAGTTGACAGGCTGCTGGCAGTTGCTTTAGAAATCAAAAGATTTTGCAATAATGTCATAGCCTTTATTTTAAGTCCTTGCTGCTTTTTTTGACGTGTGTTATAGACTTCTGGAAACCCAAACAGGAGTCTGGTTAACTGTGCTAGAAAATAAAACAGCTGTTCAGTGCCTGAAACTCTTCATCATATAATGGATCTATTTAAAGTAATGGATGCAAACCCATTTTCATATTTAAACATGATCAGCAAAGGACTTTTTAAAAGCTGTTTGTGCCCTTTTTTCTTTTCTATAATATGTAAAGAAGACTTGGGCTATTTAAAAAAAAAAAAACCTCCTTTTTTTACCTTTAGAAATATCAAGAATGTCAAGTCTAGTATTCCTTGCTTTTGCTGGAGAAACTTTCATAAATCTTTGAGATGTGTGTTGGGAGCTCTCGCACTTAAATGAGGGGCAAAGGTGTTAAATATGTAAGAGGCGGAATCCTGGTCCCATTGAAGACAGTAAGAGTTTTGCTAGGGTGAAGATTTCAGTCCCAGTTTCCAAAATGCTCATTATGTTAAAAAAAAGTTAATGAGATGCAAACCAAAAAAACATAGAGCTCTTAATTGCGGGCTGAAAGTCCCATTCCTGCCGTTTCTTCCTTTCACTCTCTTGCCTCCTGTGATGTAAAAATTTGTCTAGGTCCTCAGTCTCCATCAAGTCTAGCCTGAAAGACAAGATCTACATTTCTAATGTTAAAAAAAAAAAAGGGGGGGGGGAGAATCTTCAAAAATACTTAAATATCTCCTTTATAAAGAAATGTGTTTTGTTGTTTTTGGGGGGGGGGTTAAGAAAAGGGGTACATGCCCACCTTTTTTCTTTTCCGTGTAACCTTTACATGTTGGGGGGTTTTTTTGTTTCTACAGATATACAAACTTACTCCACAGGAAGAAAAAATTGGCCCGTTACTTGATGGCATCATTTGCAGAATGTCAACAAAAGATATTTCATGAAAACATTCAAATAAAATCCATTTTAAAGCTACAGAAACAACTGTTGCAACCATTCTTATTAGTTTTGGACTCTGTCTCAATTCTAAAATACTTTGCACTCCTTTATTTTACGTGGAAAAGTAAGAAGAGTCACTAAAACATTCTGTGAAAGAAACGGTCAGGACCTAAACCACTAAAGGAACACTGAAGCAATATTTTATCTTAAGCTTCATTCAACTTCAGAAATGTCAGTGCAGTACTGAGCAGAGTTTGAATTCTCACAACTTGTACAGATTCTACTCAGTGTTTTATTTAAAAATATTATTTAAAATTTTTCCCAATATCTTTTAACTGGTCATAAACATAAGGTTTCAAAATCTGTTACTACTTACCTTTGTAGTAAAGTGCTTTAAGATCATCAGATATGCCACGAACAGTGCAAACTATTTTTATTATCCCCAAGGCCTGCAATGACTTGGTTTGCATGGGCACGGAGAATAAAGGATGATATGGAGACATTTTTAGCTGCTAAGTGTTTATGTATATATCATACTTGTCTAACCATCATTCACTAGGAGAGCATATACAAACTGCTTCTTGTGATTTCCTAACACTCACAAGTGTCTGTCAAAAACACATAGAAAATGGGTCCCTGCCCCAAGGAACTTACAATCCAACTGAGAGATTTGACAAATGGGGATAACACATACACTATGGAAGGGGGAGAGGAGAGGAAGGAAGCAGCTCATAGAGCTGTGTTTACATTGCTATTCTGTATTAGTGATGCACATTTAGTAGGTTCATAAACTTTAGTGTAAATGCACTCATTTATTTGTAGATATTGCAGAAGTTAGTTTTTAGGAAGGATTTGAATGAGGTAATTGTGGAGGCTTGAACAAATTTTTGGAAGACATTCCAAGCATAAGAGCTAACAAGGAAGAAGCCACAGAAATGTTTGCAAGAGGAGATGTAAGGGGTATTGAGGCTGGTGTCAGTGAAAGGTCAGGAGCTGATACAACCTGTCCTATGGAAGGTTTTCTCAACAGTCTAGCTATACAGCTATTGTGGCTCATAATTTGAGAACCCAAAAGTAGTCAGGATAGACATGGGTAAAGATTTTTTTTTCCATTCAGCTTGTGATGAAAGAAGCAGAAGAATGTAGAAGCATACAAAAAGAAAGTTGGAGGGTTCTTGCCTTCAAGATATCTCTAACAAAACTACAATAGCGTGTAGTAAGAAAGCCAGAGGATCTTCTACTAATCCATCTAAACTTCTACGGGTGCCTGCGGTTTCATCCATGACATTCTGCTTGCTATGCTTTTTTGAATAAATGGTTATCTTCTTTCTATGCCTTTGCCATATCATTCTTCAACAATTTATTTCTCTAACACCACTCCCTTATGAATTGCTCACAGTCGCAACTTTGTTCCTCCCATATATCCCACTATTAATTTTTCTCCAAAGATGTCTTTGACTGAAATGAAGAGACACTGCTCGAGTTCCCCCCCCCAGGTGCCTGTTTCATCAGCCTTTATTAACTCCTTTCTCTGCCTGTGTTTTGGTGCTTGGGTAAGAATTCTATATAGTTCTTAGACTGCAGTCATCACTGTAGTACCTGAGCACTCAGCAGTTGTGCATTAAGCAACGTGACTACACATTTGTCATGTGTTCTCTCATCCCCTCCCAAGGGGAGAAGCACGTCCTGTGGAATGTCTTATTTTGGTAGAGTTTTAGGTTTTTGTTTTGTTTTTAAATACCATAGGTTCCACATATTAGCAAGTCCTCGGTCTTCAGCAAAAAGTTGCTATTATCCAGCAGTTGCTAATAAGTGGAAGGCAGGTTTGCAAGACTACAGCCAGGGAAGGTAGCTCTGGGATGTGCTTTCCCTGGCTGCAAACCAGCTTAGGCAAAGCAGCAGTAGGAAGGAGGATTGCAGCCTGGATGCCAGGGTTCTCTGTGGGGAGTGAAGGCGCTAGGGGTCCCATGGGACTATAAGTACCTCTCCTTTCCTCTATGTGTTGGGGCTCAGCATGTCCCATCGCTTGCTTCCGTGCATGCAGTCTCCTGGCAAGATACAATGAGGGCTACCATGCAGCTCAGCATCCAAGCTGCAGCTGCCTTTTCTGCTACTGCCTTGCCCACAGCCTCCCCTCCCTTACCTTACCTCCTCTGCAGTTCCTCTGCATGGGCAAGTTTGCTGAGCTGCAGGCAATTGCCATGCTGTCCGGAGTGGTTCACAAGTGTGAGTGCCAACTTCAGGGCATGCTGTCAAGAAGCAGGGCAGACACCGCAGGCTGGTTGTATGTTCTATAATTAGATTTTACCAATCCAGTAATAAATGTTTACTCCTAAAGTACTATGACAGTTTCACTGTGGAGTCACAGACAGTCTCCTTGGGCATTCCAGTCTATCTTGCCTCCCAGGCAAGCTGGACTTCGTGATAATTGGTTGCTATATACCAAAAATCACAAAAATTTCAGGTTGCTTTCAGTCTTAAGGGATCAGTCACTTACCCCAGGTAAGCCAATGTGTACCTTCAGTTTCTCACCAAAGACAACGCTTGTAGCCAATTCTGTAATAAACTCAAGATTTATTAACTAGGAAAAAGAAATTAGAGAGTTATTAAAAGGTTAAAGCAAGCAAACATATACCTAAATGAGTTACATTTTGTGGTTTTAAAAGGTGACAGCTATAGTAATGTTAGCTCTGAATCTCTTTTAGGGCTAACCCAGGCTGAATGCGGGGATCTTTGCTTCTCTTTCATAGCTCTGGCCTGGTGAGAGTCCAAATGGGAAAAAAAAAAATCTTGTGAGCTGTTTTTATTTCCTTCTTCCAGAATTTAAGCTGGTGGGAAAAGCCCTTTTTCACGTACCTTCTTCATGGGTTTGAAAGGGCAGTTAACATAGCCTTTGTATGGCGATGTCCCACAGTGGCTCATTTAGTTTTGATAGGCCTCCTTGACAGTTAGAAGACAATTTCTCCTGACTGGGTTCACAGTTTGTGTCATAAATATAAAGGGAAGGGTAGCCACCTTTCTGTACACAGTGCTATAAAATCCCTCCTGGCCAGAGGCAAAATCCTTTCACCTGTAAAGGGTTAAGAAGCTAAGGTAACCTTGCTGGCACCTGACCCAAAATGACCAATGAGGGGACAAGATACTTTCAAATCTGGAGAGGGGGAAAAAGGTTTTTGTCTGTCTGTGTGATTCCTTTGCTGGGAACAGATCAAGGATGCAAGCCCTTCAACTCCTGTAAAGTTAGTAAGTAATCTAGCTCGAAAATGCGTTAGGTTTTCTTTGTTTTGGCTTGTAAATTCGCTGTGCTGGAGGAAATGTGTATTCCTGTTTTTGTGGGAGTTTTGTATCTTAAGGTTTTGCCTAGAGGGATTCTCTGTGTTTTGAATCTGACTGCCTGTATGATTATCTTCCATTCTGATCTTACAGAGTTGTTCTCTTACCTTTTTTTTTTTTTTTTTTTTGTTCTTCTAATAAAGTTCTAATTTTTAAAAATCTGATTGGGTTTTTTGGGTCTTAAAAATCCAAGGGGTTTGTCTCATCTTGTTTATTCTCAAGCCTCTCCAGAAAAGGGGGTGTAAGGACTTGGGGGAATATTTTGGGGAAATAGGAACTCCAAGTGGTCCTTCCCCTGTTCTTTGTCTAAAACACTTGGTGGTGGCAGCGTTTTACCTAATCCAAGGGCAAAGACTTTGTGCCTTGGGGAAGTTTTTAACCTAAACTGGAAGAAATAAGCTTAGGGGGTCTTTCATGCGGGTCCCCATATCTGTACCCTAGAGTTCAGAGTGGGGAAGGAACCTTGACAGTTTCAGAGCAAACATTTTTTACAGTTATAAAGCAGGAACTTAAATATTACCTCCTAGCATGTGATAAAGAAATAATAAGTGAGAGTATTGCATGCAACAATTTACAAGCATTTCATAAAGTCTAAAAACATTGTGACAAGTTCAATATCCATCTCAACCATACTAACACACAGGTGAAACAGACTAGTTTCCAGAAATGAATTTGTCAGTGTGCAGTTGATGCCTAAAGCCTTGGCAAGCACCGGCACCTGGTCTGCCAGCATCACACAGCCCCAGAAAGACGTGCTGGGACAGGCTCACCGGCAGCGGGCAAGTTTGAAGGGCTGCAGCTTGGGAAGGCATGTCCTAGTGCTTCCTTCTCTGGCTGCAGCTTGCAAACCTGCCTGCAGTTGTGGCCTTTCTTCCCCCAAAAAGATGGGTGGCAAGTATCATAGGCTCTGGGCGCTGTGCCTCCCCAAACAGCCTAGAGTGGCCCCACCTACACTCCACCCCCAAGTCCCCTCCTGCAGTTCCCGGCACTCTGCTGGGACTGGGGCTGGCTGGCCTGCCGCAGGAACTCAGGGTGACTGGTGCTCGGACTGTGCGGCCCAGCGCACCAGGGCTGGGGACACTGCGGCTGTGCCAGCTGGCGCACTGGGGCTGAGGGCGCTGCTGGCCACCCAGTGCACCTGGGCTGGGGGTGCTGCAGCTGTGCCACCAGGCACTGGGCGGAGGGCTGTGGTGGGGGTGCTTTGGGCTCCTGGCGGTGGGCAAATGGGGAGAGGCAGACAAAGGGGTAGGGGTCAGGGGCTAGCCTCCCCCAACAGCCAGATCACCGGCTGCCCATGCCCAAAACATTCTTAATAAGCAGTATGCCATTGCCAGTATCGAAATCCTATTTACACTGATGTTAATGGGAGGGGATTGGTTCCCAGAAGAATGTTGCCATCAACCAGAAAAATCTACTGTATATACATTTTGCTGTGTATTTGCATTTTAAAAAGGTGAAGTCAAAGTAATGCACCTGGAAGGTAGTGAGGTTTGTGATGGTTCTTTGTTTCTGGGGGAGTTCATTCCAGTCTTGGATCAGCTTCCAAGGAAGTTCTATTTCCTGCACAGATGAGCTTTATCCTTATAGTCGAGAGTTCCATTGTGCCAGAGGAGCATAGTTGTTGAACACAGTCTTCATGCTGGAGCATTAGGCAGTCTTTTAGATATCCTAGGCCCAGGCCATGGAGCACCCTGAAGGTATTAAAGGACAGAGGCATTTAATTTGATTCAAATTTCTATGGGAAGCCAGTTTAGGGAGTGGAGAATAAGTTGGACATGCTCACTGTCACCAGTGTTGCTCAGGAGGTGCACTGCAGCATTCTGTACGAGCTGGAGTTTCCGAAGTGCTGAAAGCTTCGTGTCCAGCTATGTTGCACTGCTGTCGTCCAGCCAAGAAGTGACAAAGGCATGACTAACTGAGGCGAGAGCATCCTGTGTTGGGATGGAACAGTCTCCTAACTAGCTGGGGAAAGCATTAATCGTTGGTGCCGTGTGAAATCAAGTATCAGTGGGAAGTGAAAAGTGCTCCTAAACTACAGCCTGAATTAACCTTATGAATTAACCTTTGTCTTATGAAAGGAGACTCAAGGAGCTTGGCTTGTTTAGCCTAACCAAAAAAAGGCTGAGGGGAGATATGATTGCTCTCTATAAATATATCAGAGGGATAAATACCGGAGAGGGAGAGGAATTATTTAAGCTCAGTACCGATGTGGGCACAAGAACAAATGGATATAAACTGGCCATCAGGAAGTTTAGACTTGAAATTAGACAAAGGTTTCTAACCCTCAGAGGAGTGAAGTTCTGGAATAGCCTTCCAAGGGAAGTAGTGGGGGCAAAAGACCTATCTGATTTCAAGATTAAACTCGATAAGTTTATGGAGGAGATGGTATGATGGGATAACATGACTTTGGCAATTAACTGATCTTTAAATATTCATGGTAAATAGGCCCAATGGCCTGTGATGGGATGTTAGATGGGGTGGGATCTGAGTTACTACAGAGAATTCTTTCCTGGGTATCTGACTGGTGAATCTTGCCCATATGCTCAGGGTTCAGCTGATCGCCATATTTGGGGTCGGGAAGGAATTTTCCTCCAGGGCAGATTGGCAGAGGCCCTGGGTTTTTTTTGCCTTCCTCTGTAGCATGGGGCTCGGGTCACTTGCTGGAGGATTCTCTGCACCTTGAAGTCTTTAAACGATGATTTGAGGACTTCAATAGCTCAGACACCGGTGAGAGGTTTATTGCAGGAGTGGGTGGGTGAGATTCTGTGGCCTGCGTTGTGCAGGAGGTTGGACTAGATGATCATGATGGTCCCTTCTGACCTTAATATCTATGCGTCTGTGAACCATTTGTGGGTATGCACCTTCAACCAACGGAGGCTGCATTGTGGCTGCAAACTCTTTAAATGTTTTCCTCTGCCCACCAGCATCACTTCTGTCTGTAGATAACTTAAGGCCCTGATTCTTGGGTTTGTCCAAGCTACACTCTGCCCAGGACTTGC